AAGCCAGACTGGAAAGGATCTAGGACTGAAGCATCCTCCAGAAAGTCGCCACCGCCCACTCAATAAGTTTGCCCAAATAGGGCAAATTAGACACCGGCCGATAGATATGTTTGTTGGAATGAGATCCTAACAGTTCTCTATATAGAACAAATAATTTGCTCACGATATTAAACAGCTTAAGAAATTAATAATATGCTTAGACAAAGCTCATTTTAGCAGAATAAGACAATGTATACTTAGTGATCTGCGAAATATGTATTATGATATATACTGGAAACAGACTGAGTTCACATAGGAGGTATAACAACAGAGAAGAAGCTGATACTGTATTCTATCCCTACTTTTATGTTTTGTCTGTTTGGGTGGGGGGAGAAATAAAAAATTTAAAACAAAGCATGTTTGCTCAGAAGACTCCATAGCTTAGAGGGGAGCATTGGTGGGCGGATAGCAAAAATGGTGAAGTGTACAAAATGTTGTTTAACATCTACATGCGCCCCCTTGCCCAGATTGCCCGGAGTTATGGGCTTGGGTGTCATCAATACGCAGATGACGCCCAGCTCTATCTGATGCTGGGTGGCCGGTCTGACTCCAACCCAGATGACCTTCCCTTACCTGAGGAAGCAGGGGTCATTTCCTGCAGGAGCACACAGGAGCGGAGTTCCGGCAGTAAAAAGACCAGGGGGCGGGCACATGCAACAAGCCCCACCCCCTGCTCCCAGCCGCCCTCAGCCAGAGGAAGAAGCAGCCAGGTAGGTAAGCTGCAGAGCCCCCCCCCCCCGGCCCCCAACACTCCAGTGGCACCTTTAAGACCAAGTTTTATTCAGGTACAAGCTCTCCCTCCTCTGTGAGGACAGATCTGCACATCCCCCCCAATAGCTAGCAATCCAAAACAGTCCAGTGGAGCCTAAGCGGTGGGTGTTGCCTTCTAACACACTTCCGGCGATGTCAGGGGGTGTGTCATATGCAAATGAGTTATGCAAATGAGTTATGCTAATGCGCTCCTGCACCTCTTTTTCTACGAAATGACCCCTGGTAGGAAGGATGAACTGGTAGGGGAAGACTATGGGGCGAAAATGAGGTGTGGTTTGGAGGGACACGATTGAGGACGCCATCTTGGATGCCGAGCTGGCTGCTGCGCCGCCAGAGCCCTACCTTGTTGGACGCCATCTCGCTGACGGAACGGTACGTTTGGATGGTCTCCAGTTGGTCCAGGCACCAATCCAGCTCCTCCAGGGTCTCTCTGGCCATTTGCTGGTAGGTTTCCTCTGCAACCAAACACACCTGTCTTCAGTCGCCTTGCCAGCAGCCCCCCGAAAGAGCTAAGCAGACAGCGCTAATTTATTTATTCATTTAATTTATACCCCGCCCTCCCCACGAAGGCAAGCTCGGGGCGGCTTACAGAATCCGATACATAAATAACAGTTAAAACCCACATAGTAAAGGTAAAGGTTCCCTTGCTCGAAAGCCAGTCGAGTCCGACTCTAGGGTTGCGGTGCTCATCTCCGTTTCCAAGCCGAAGAGCCAGCGCTGTCCGAAGACGTTCCCGTGGTCATGTGGCCGGCATGACTAAACACCAAGGCGCACGGAACACTGTTACCTTCCCACTGAAGTGGTACCTATTTATCTACTTGCAATGTCTTGCTTTCGAACTGCTAGGTTGGCAGGAGCTGGAACTAGAGACGGGAGCTCACTCCGTCTTGCGGCACCCGGGTCTCGAACTGCTGAACTACTGACCTTCCACAGCCTGCAGTTCAGCGTCTTAACCACTTGAGCCACCGCAGCTCTAAACCCACATACAATCATCTAAAAACAGTTCCGTTGAACAATTCAATACTGTAAAGTGCTAGCGATAATCAATTATCGCTTAACAATGGCGTACTGTTTGAGTGCATGCAAGGTCTCATTGAATGTTCTGCTCTGCGGTCTTCCTGATATGGGTGGCGGCGCAGGCTGTAGGTGTCAGAGCTGAGGGCCAGGGCTATATAATTGTGGGTGGTAATGGTGGGGGCGGCTCCTTAGTTGAAAGATTGGTGGAAGAGCTCTGTCTTACAGGCCCCACGGAACTGTAAAAGAACCCACAGGGCCCTGATCTCTTCTGGGAGCTCATCCCACCAGTATCGAGCTGCCACTGAGAAGGCCTGGGCCCTGGTAGTAGCCAGCCTGGTGTCCTTGGGGCCTGGGATTTTTTGAGACCCCGATCGTAGTGCTCTCTGGGGTATGTATGGGGAAAGGCGGTCCCTTAGGTATGCTGGACCCTGGCCATATAGGGCTTTAAAGGTAAGAACCAGCACCTTCAAGCGAATTCAGTATGCTATTGGCAGATGAACAGAGCTAAGCCAGACACAACCAGGTGTAATATTGAATCGACCACTAGAGGGAGCAAAACAAGTACGGAACAGGGAAACGAAACCCCTAAAGAAACAGGAACTTACAAGCAAGGAACAGGAGAATGCCGAAAAGCCCCAAGCATGAGCTTGATGATTGTGCCCCACCCCCCCGGTGAGGCACCAACCCCACACTTCCCTTACCTGAGAGGGTGGCTTTGCATACAGTCGGCTGTCCGCCCATCGGAGACCTCCTGAGCAGCAGGAAGAGAGAAAAGGATGCCAGGTTAGATCAGCGCACTTCCTTCTCCACTTGGGGCACGCAAAGTCATGGCATCCCCCTCCAGCTCTTTCCCCAAATGAGAAACCCCACATGCAAGTTCACAGGTAGCCCTTGGAGCTGCGAACAACTCAAAAGGCCTTCTGCCCCGGGACAGAAACGCGCAGGACTTGGAGCAAGGCTGCTAGGGTTTCGGCCTCCTTCTATCCACCCCTGCAGAGGTGGAGCTCTCCAACAGAGGGTACGCCTGCCCTGGCATGGATGCTCTTGGGGGAGCACAGTTTCTCATCCCGCTATCCTGCAGCATCATGGCCCCTTCATGTACAAAATCGGCTGGCCCTCCCAGGCCCTAGGGATGTCAAACTGGCAGCAACCAGGGCCAGGGCCTTCTCGGTGGCGGCTCCGTCCTGGTGGAATGAGCTCCCGGAAGAGATCAGGGCCCGGCGGGACCTTCGACTGCTCTTACCAGGGAAAGGCCTCGGCCTCTCTGCCCTGTTGCTGGCCCTCCAGAGGAACTGGCTGGCCCCTGTGTGAGACGGGAGGCTGGACTTACTGATCAGGCCCAGGAGGGACCTTCGACTGCTCTTACCAGGGAAAGGCCTCGGCCTCTCTGCCCTGTTGCTGGCCCTCCAGAGGAACTGGCTGGCCCCTGTGTGAGACGGGAGGCTGGACTAGAGGGACCCTCCCTGGTCTGACCCAGCAGGGCTCTTCTGGTGTTCTTCTCAGGGGAAGGCCTTGGCCTCTCTGCCCTGTTCTTGGCCCTCCAGAGGGACTGGCTGGCCCCTGTGTGAGATGGGAGGCTGGACTAGAGGGACCCTCCCTGGTCTGACCCAGCAG